CTTTGACCGTAGATGCTGAGATCATCCTAGGACTGTCAAGTCTTGAGTCTCTCTGGGGTTTTGTTACTTAGGATTCCGCTTGAAGCGTGCCGCCATTTGCTCTCAGACCCCACGGACTAAACGCATTGAGCCCCAAACCACCAGCTGATATGTTTAAGTGTATGTGTATATATGTATATGTATATATATATATATATATATATATATGCATGCGCTATAAGATAGTACACATAATGTAATAGAACATGCATAAATTAATATAACATGGTAGACGTCATACATTATGCTACAGGCAGGCTCCGGTGCAATCCTGGTACGTTGACCCAACCGAACACGTAGAGCGTCACAGGCTGGGAAACGCTGCAAGGGCTTCCGATCGCAAGGCAGAGGGACATGAGAACAGGCTGAGGGTTTGAAACGAGGTTGTGGCTTCCACCGACCATGCTGATGATGTGATGAGGATGATGATGACGATGATGGATGGCTGTCGTGCTGCTGTCTTGCTCGCGAGGAAGAAGATGAGGAGACAGTGCTGGAGCCGCAGCAGCTTAGGATGATGAAGTTGATGCGCTGATGGCAGCAGAGGGGCCGTAGCAATGAGTTCGGGGGTTGTTTAAATTTACGAGCCTGAATCCAACTGCCAGCCGTGGTGCAGCAGTCAGTCAGGATTTGGGCTTCGGGTCTTACCGGTTAGGGGTTCGGGCTGAGGGTTCTCAGCCCAGAACTGAACGACAAAAGCACCACAAATCTTCTAGACCGAAAAGCCCGAAACCCCAAAACAATGCTAAATTTAACACCCACAGCCATCATGAGCTCAGTCAAACCTGGCAAAAGCCCAGCTTGTACAACACTGAAACCCCCTACTCACACCCACCTTGCTCCTTGGCCCAAACCCCCGAGCCGCGGGCCGTCAAGGTGGAGTGGAGCTGCTTCTTGCTGCGCCTTGGTGAGTTTGAACTGTAAAGCAGCCCATGACACAAGTAAGCGGCTAAAGCTGACCGTCTAGGAGGGCTCCGCCGCATCTTCCGTGGGATGGTATGTTTCGGTGTGCTGGCAGGGTTGAGGGTGCGGGTTGCCCAGCTCTGAGCCCGGAAGTTCACTTACCGGCGTATGAAGCTGCCGGCACTCCTCTGAGTGACATGGGGAGTTCATGGGCCAAAAATCTTCGGGATTTAGTTTAGCAGTGCAGCGATTATACAGGACTGGTCCCCAGCATTCTGTGAAGTTGGACTCAGAGAGTTCTCAGGTGCATGGCTGGATGCTGCCGAAGAATTCGGTGTGCCATGGCGCCCTTGCTATTGATCCGTTTCACGACACTCCCACACTGCCACGCAAAAACACCGTAGAGAGCAGAGTGACACAAAAACCCGACGGCAAGACAACCACACAGACTGGGGGGATAACTCACCACATTCGACGGCACAACCGAAAACAGCTGCAAGTAGAAACGGCCACAAACAAGGACCCGAATATTATGAAACCCCAAAGGACATTATGAAACCCCAAAGGACATCATGAAACCCCAAAGGACAGGGGCTCCCCTGCTAAAGCCAAAGACCCGATTTCCCCACGGCAGGTGGCTGCAGGTGAACGACCCGCTCGAGGAGAAGCACCTTGCACAAAACCCAGCGCCCCAGCATGGGTTTGAGTTGAAGACTAGATCCTACACGGGTATCAAGTGTTTCAGGGTTTAGGGCATGATTGCCGGTTCTCTCACAATCAGCAGGAAACCTCTAGATCCTCATCGTAAGGACCCCTAATTTGGACGCCCGGTTCCACATCCAGTGGTATCATGGCTTCCGACAGAATGAATCCTCACGTGGTTTACAAACAACCTACTGCAAATGGCCTTCGGAACAAGCTTCGGGGTCCAGGAGAGACAGGCCTATTGCGAATGAAGGAAACCATTGCTCATAAAACAGGCAAAGGTAGCAAGCGCTAAACCCCCGACAACCCTAAACCATGAAAAGCGAGCTTGAACACCAAACCATAACTCTTTTTTGCATCCAGCCTGCAAAGCCTCTGCTGGGAAGTAAATCATATCTCTAAACCCCGAAACCCTAAACCCGAAACCCTAAACCCTAAACCCGAAACCCTAAACCCTAAACCCTAAACCCTAAACCCTAAACCCTAAACCCTAACTCCCAAACCTTTGAACCCCAAACTTCGAAAACGCCCCCACCTGCGGGCCCCGCAACCCGGTGACCCCCACCACCTCAACGAAGGCTGCCTTAAACAGTTAAAACAACTAGGCCTCAGCAATTCGACTATGGTTTCAGGGAACAGTGTAGTATACGTAGTATGAGGGAATGGTGTTACTTTTGATTCCGATCCAATAGTTTCACTTATGATTCCGATCCAACAGTTACACCTCCGATTCCCATGTTAGGGCCGTTAGGGTTTAGGGTTTAGACGTGTGATCCCACTTCAACCGAAGGGCGCGGGTTCGAGAACATGCTTTAGAAGGGGCCCCCACCCTGTAATAGTGGTATAATAGGAATATACTCGGGCCCTAATGTAATCCTTATAGTCACTATTACAGGGTGGGGGCCCCTTCTAAAACATGCTAGTCCGACCAAAGCTGCTTGGATTGATTTAGAAAGGACCTGCTCAAATTCGAGCAATTTTTCAGAAGGGTTCACATGCCTTTACACTCTTCAAACGGCTGCACGTGGATTTGCAAGGTCGGGTATGATTGGGCTATCTGTAAGCAACCTAACCCAAAATTTCAAGCAACGCATATGCCACACACCCCTCGTTGAAGTATGCGACGACATCATTTTATATCATTTTAACGACGACCCTTTGCCACAAGCCGTCTGGTTTAGGGTGCAAGGCCGAAGTTTCAGGGCATACCCAATGTGGTCAGAAGGAAACTTGCCTTCCTATTCTTAGAGCAACAACATTAGCAAGCAGACTCTCGAGTCAACTACCCATGCTTCCCTGATGTGGATTCCTTAGTTGCTGAGGTCATAAGCCCCCAAAAGTGTACACTGCTAGTTTTAAAGTGGGTAGTATTATCCCGAAAAGTGTAAAGTGTATCCACTCAGCTACTAAGATTCAACTTTGGGGGCGTCCTTACATCAAACATCCTCCTATTTGTGGGTTCTATGCTAGGGTTCTCGGTGGCGGGTGTAGGGTTTAGGAGTTCGGGTTCAGGGATTGAGGTTTAGGGAAGCCCTAAACATGTCCACAACATGCGAAGGAAGCAGCCGCACTCGCATCCTCCTTGCGCATGGCACCCCGCTGCATGCCTCGCACACCGAGCTACCCATAGGCCCCAAAGTAGTTCCTTTTTGGGATTACCAAATAGGACTCTAAATATGAACCCCAAAAAGGAACTACTTTAGGGCCTTAGGGCAAACTCGAACATGGGTTACACCTCCAGCCGACTACGCACCCAGAACCTCACGCGGCAAGTCCGAGAGTCCACGCCGAAAGACCCCAAAATTTACTCTGAATGGAGCGCTACTCAGCTCTCTGACGCGAGAGAGATCTCCTGATCAAAAATCCTTAGACTTGACATGGGAGTTTCCGAAAATTAGGGGAACCCTATTTGGAGGTCCTTATAATAAGGATCCTACTATCTAGGGTACTATATTAGGGTCCCCTGTTTTCGGAAACTCCCACACAGCAACCAGTTGAAGCCACTTGGGAAAGCTTTGAAAGATCTATCCTAAACCTAAAACCCCTACAGTTCGCGGACCCCAACCCCCAAATGCGTGACCACGGCGCCACTGCTCCGAAGCCTTACCTTTACCCGCCAGAACCTACTTTTTTCTGTAGTTTCTTGTTACACACCCTGATATGGATTTTGCAGGGACACTACAAAAAAGTAGGTTCTGGTAGGTTAAGGTACATGACGGAGACGCGTTCTAGACACTCTACGCCAGCAGATTCGATTCTCGAAAGAACGACCTCTGAGGTTAATAGGGTTGTTCCCAGGGAAACAACAACTAGGCTATGAAGCTTTGTAGGAAAGCCTACCTTTTTCGAAGCCATGGGTTTTTGGTTTTTGTTTACCAAACCTATCTTACTATTTAACTGATGCACTACAAGGCGGCTGCCAAGGACCCAGCTCCTCTGTGACTCAGGGCATGAGGGCACCCAGATGATAGCTGAGTAACCAATGTAACTTTAGAACAGGGATGTGACCCAACAAAACTCGGTACGTTTGTTTTGTTAAGGTACCATGGTAACCCGACGTAGGGCTCAGTTTTAATCATTGTTAAACAGAGATCATAAGGGCCGAGCTCAAGAGTATCGGGGAAGTCCACTTGGAGGCGGCCTATTCGTGCAACTGCGTCAAGCAAAGTAAATCGGTGCTGTTTACATTTGCGAAGGACAAGAAGTCTGTGCAAAAGTCGTGGTAGGAAGGCGTGAAATGACTGTTTTTCCTGATGTACAAATGCAGCAAAGGGTCTGAGAGGCAGGTTGTGGTTGCTACTGATCTGATGTGTCTGATCCTTTCATCGTATGATTCCACGATATTGTGTGCCTAGCCCACTGGTGGGGCCATGCGGGTATTTGCGGGAATACAAAGCAGCTCGTTCTCCCATCTTTGTGCCAGCAGTGTGGATGCGCCGCAGCTAAAGGCCACAACGCCTAGGCAGAATCCATGATGTTCCATGCACACCTTCCCAGACGACAGGGGGATGAGCACTGATACAACGTGTGGTGAGTACCCGGCCCTCAGCAGCATGCTGCCGCATTTGGGGGGAAGACCACTCGCACAAAACTGCGAAACTGCGGAAACAATGATGCAAGCTCCAACTTCACGATGACATACTCCTTACAAGATGATTCTTTCCCAAGGATTTGTTCGATTCGATTGCACAGTAGGAGCACAGATGTGTCATCGTCACTGAGCCACAGGAGGGTCGACTGAGATATCTTCGTTGGCGATATCTCTCAGATCGCAGGTCCGGAAGCCGAGTTATGAACGCAGTCATTGCCAACGTTAATTCGGCTGAAGCTCTTTTGCTATGACTATATATGACTTACTCTGCACATTCCTCCTTCGTGAACTCCGAAGATCCACGCATGGACGACGTCTCCGCATCCCCAGCAATCCCGTCGTTCATGAGTTGGATCATCTGCTCCATGTTCGCCTCGGAGTACATGGTGGGCACCGAGGCATTGAAGCCGATCTTGGTCTCCAACTTTTGCCGCAGGTCCTTCAGATTGGCCATGGCATCCTTCAACTCCTGCACTTTCTTCACTTCCTCCAAACGGCGGGGGAACGTGGGCACCGTGTACAGGCCGTTGATGAGCTCCTGCTTCTTGGGATTCTTCAGGACGTCGCCCTCGGCACACGCAGCATGCACGGCAGCGCCATAGGGAGCCATGGCCGCGGCGGCCGTGATGATGCCTGAGATGCTTGCTCCACAGAGTGCACTGACGTCCAGGAAGTCCTGGCAGTGCACCACAATGAGATTGATGAACGTCACGACCTGGCTCATGTAGGCGATCGCGCCGCCGATGTCTACCGTGCACAAGGCGCTGAAAATGCCAGTAACCTTGCAAAACTGAGGATACTTCGCAATATGTTATGCTTTTCGATGTTTTGTGCAAGTGCGGAGACTAAGCCGGTTGCCTTGTTGATTGGCCCGTCGAGGCTGACGCGGCCGCATTGACCACTGTTCACAGCCGAGTTTATGGAGATCCCCATGTTGGCGAGGTTGGCAACCACCATGCCGACGTCAACCCCGCATTGCACACCTACTCCGATTGGACCCTGTCCAATGAGAAGTCGTCGGCCATCACGAACCGTCTGGTCTCCGAGCACGCTGATCTTGGTGGTGGTCAACTGCGGTGGCACCCCTGTGCACGTGGCCGCCGCCAGGGAAGCAGTCGCTGCCAGCTCGCCCATCACAGAGACGAGGCCGGTAACACCCACGGAGCATACGGCATCCACATTGAGGTTCAGCGCACAGTTCGTAGCAGCATAGGACAGCTTGGCTGCCGCGTTGGCAACCCAAGTCACCAAAATGGCGCCGTTCACCTGGCAAGCAAGCTCTGCTTCACCATCGCGAGGAGGAGGGCAAGTCCTGATGATGGCATTGATATCATCGCCCATGCCGACCACGGAGACGAAGGCCTCTAGCACGTTAAATGCACAGTAGGCGTTGGTGGCCTTGCGCATGCGTGTCTGTCTCCTCGTCGCCTTGTACGTTGTGATCTCGGCCTTGGTTAGCATCTCTCGGGCAGCGTCGGCGGGATCTGCGGGCAAAGAACGAACCTGACGCTGCTCGTAGTGCTTGGAATACTTTCGGCCAGTGCTCTTCATGGCCTTGAGGACGATCTTCTGGGCCGCCGAGTGTTTCTTGACACTCTTCAGTGCATCGGCTTTCAGAGCCAAATCGGCGTCCAAGCCCAGGTTGGACTTGCCCTGGAAGGCGCCGAGATCCAATCCCTGGCAAAACCTCCCTGCTTTCGGCATGGCCATGAAGCCCACCACGCCAAGGCCGACCGTCACAACCAAAGCGGCTTTTTTCATCCAACCACGGGAGCTCGGGGGAGAGTTCTTCGCCTCTTCGTCGGACTCCGCATGGACGGCTTCGAAAGGTGTCGGCATGCTCCCACGCTCTCTGAAAGCGGCAGAACACACAAACGCAGCTTGAGCAGGGTTTACACTCCCACATCTCGGACAAGCCCCGCGAGGCGGGTCTAGAGTTAAGTTGAACTTCAGCAACGCATGAGCAAGTGGGTTAACAGTTTCTAAACCCTCAAGCCACTGAGGCTCAAGTGATTTCCTTTCATCTCGCTAAGGTGGACCTTGAAGACGTAGGCGCGGGCCGGATTACCAAACCCTGACAACCCTGCCGAAGCCTCGCTCTCAGTCTTCAACCTTCTTTGAAACGCTTGCTTTTTCGACGAGCCTACACATTTGTAAGACTGAGCTTTTTGTGAAGGGAATAGGTTGAAGTTGACAAGGTATACTTAGAAAACTATACACCATTTTGTCCCCTCAGACATTCGCTTTTACCTCAGCAATGACCCTTGTATGCAATGTAAATGAATTAACTTCTTGAACAACCCCTTTGTGGCAATTTAAGTTAACTTCCCCACCAGCAACCCGCTTTATGCCAACTTCTGCTAACTTCCTCAACAATAACCAGACAGCTTTGACACTGGGCGCCTGCAGGAACCCACTCCTCAGGGCAATGCAGCAGCTGAGGCACGGATTTCCGAAGATGTTCCTTTCAGCAGTGGGACGAATCAAGAGTGGGTTCTTCTTAAACGGAACTTAGTTTAACTTTACCATAACAGGGATCTACAGTAAATGTTAAGGCTTCCTGATTATTCTGGAAACTCAATAGGAATTAAACACTTCTTAACTTAACAAGAACCTCGCAGTTGTTGCGGTAGGTTGATTCTCAAAGCAAGCGTACAGTTGACCCTAAACCCTGGAATCTAAAAAAACCCAAACCCTAAACCCTAGGAACCCTAAACCCATGAACCCTACACCCATGAACCCTAAACCCAGGAACCCTAAACCCATGAACCCTACACCCATGAACCCTAAACCCAGGAACCCTAAACCCATGAACCCTACACCCATGAACCCTAAACCCAGGAACCCTAAACCCATGAACCCTACACCCATGAACCCTAAACCCAGGAACCCTAAACCCATGAACCCTACACCCATGAACCCTAAACCCAGGAACCCTAAACCCATGAACCCTACACCCATGAACCCTAAACCCAGGAACCCTAAACCCATGAACCCTACACCCATGAACCCTGAACCCAGGAAGCCTAAACCCATGAACCCTAAAGGTGGGTTTCGGCTTGCATCTCGCCCTACGCGGAGCGGGAAAAAGGGTTTAGGGCTTTAGGGATTAAGGATGTTTGTTTAAGGTTTAGGGTTTCGGCGCTCACACTCGGACAATCCAGGCGAGGCATGTGGTTGGGAGTCTGATGAGTGAAACGGCACTAGGGGAAGTAGTCAAAAAACAGGTTTAGGGTACAAGGTTTAGGGGTTTAGGGGTCTAGGGGTTTTAGGGTTTAGGGGTTTAGAGGTTTAGAGGTTTGGGTTCTACAGGAGCCTCTACAGGCCCTTGGGGCTTCAGCGTTGGGGGGCTTCTTTGCAGACTTCTTTGGGGTTGGGCAGGGCTTCTGGTTAAGGGTACCTCTCAAGCCCATGTACAACTTCTGGAATATAGGGGCCTTAATACTTAGAACCAGGTTTGGGTGTCATGAGAATAGACTTCGATTCAGGACCCCCAAGAAATTAAGCTCAAAGCTGCTTCGAGCCCCGCATTTCGGTAGCCAACAGAGCCAGGAAGCCAGCTGCCAGTGCAGGATGTCCTCGACAGCCTGGCGGTCTCCATTTGGGAGTTTCCGGAAATAGGAGACCCTAATATAATACCCAGTAGGATCCTTATTCTAAGAATCCAAAAATACCAAATTTTCGGAAACTCCCATTTGTATAGGGCCCGCTAAGATATCCTAGAGTATCCTAAGCTCAAAATGACGACCAACATTATTCCTTAGGGTTCCGGGTTGTGACGATAAGAAAAACCTGTACAAAATTACAGCTACCATTAAACACACATCCGGTAATCCCCAAACCTGGTTCGTGGGCAAGCCATAAGCCAAGCTGAACATGCAGGGCAAGAGATTTACGGCCCAGCTTATGCAGTGATTCCTGGGGCCGCTTATAGGAGCAGTCCTAAACCCGACTCTAAAAACCCCAAAAACCGGCTTCTAGGCGCAGCCGTCCTGAAGACTGGGGTCTCACGTGGTGAGACATTCATTGCAATGCTGAGATGGCGTCCGTGCATGAGTAGCTTGCGTGCCTGCAACACGATAGCGCTTATGTGGCCTTGTGCGTACTACCTGCGCGAGGCAGTAGGACATCCACGGCCAAAAAACGTGACCGCAAAGCCACGCTGTCAATATTCCTACCCGATTGGGGCAGCATCGTTTGGAATTTCGCTACTTGGCGAACCGGCCGACGGGTATGAGAAGTGCAAGTGAAACGTCCGTGAGTGTAAAGTGTAGAGTTTCGACTGTAGGCTTTTGAACTCAACAAAAGCCTGAATACCGACTTGCTAGACTGAGTTAGACTAGGCCACTATACTAGATTCTAGTTGTTGTAGTTATGAAGATCCTGTATCGGTTGGTTCGCGACATGTCGGCCCACCTAGTGACATAAGAAAGTCGGCGAGATTCATCTGGGGCAGAACTGCGACCGAAACCTTTTCGAGTTGAGCCGTAATCTCAGGCATCAGAAGCAGCGCATCTTGCAAAGGGCTAGAGAAACAAGAATGCAGGAAGCCAAGTTCAACGCCACGGCCTGTACTGGCGAAGTCTCCCACATCAGCTTCCGGACGTTTGCACTTACTGGCTTGTAAGGCCACAAGTATGTCGCACGCGCCAGTTCAGTGCGCCGAAGAATACGTGCCGCGTACGCGTGCACACAGGGAAGCGCCCGACCTGAAAACCAATCTTCGTAACCCAGCTCCAGCAAGCGCAAAAGAGATGTGAACCAAACGAGGTCTGCCATGCTGTAAGTGCTTCCGCAGATATACGGACCGCCCGACTGCTTCAGGTCGCTTTCTAACTGCGCCAGGAAGCTTTTCACTGTGGCATGCATTTCATGGAGGGCCTCCTGTGTACAATTCACGCCAACCTTCAGCTGAGCCATGCTGGTCTTCTTGCGCTTTGCTTTGTAAAGAGGGCGAAGGTGACTGGGCAAGGATGGATCCGCGAGGTATTTGTCTATGGTCTTCAGCTGTCCTTTCTGGGCACCTTTTGTGAGCTCCGCGAACTTTCTGATTATAGGATCCTTGGGAGTCTCTGCGAGATGCAAGCCGTAAAACATGCCCATGTGGGGTGTCTCGTCAACCAAAGAAAGATGCTTGGCAATGAGCTCTTGATACTCCTTGGGCATTAACCTTGGCTCCGGAAGTTCCACCTCGAGATATTCACAAATCACCTTCGAGTCCACCACAACTTTCTTCTTCTGTCGGTCGAGCAAAGTCGGCACGGCCAAGGGGTCGAATCCTTGGCTCGAAGCAGCTGTGGCCCCGCTGAAAACCTCACCAACCAGAGGCCCGCCCCCCGGATTTCCCAAAGAGCGCAATTGGACATAGGCAGGATGGTAGTTGTTGTGCAGTGGTGCCGTCAACTGCCACGACGTCCAGGGGATACCTTTCTCGGCGAGCACACACCGCACCTTCCAAGAACAGATGGACCACTCGAAGTGGAACAGGTCGAAACGGGGCAGGCTGCCCTTGCCATTGATAACGCAGCTCTTGACATCCAGCGAAGCCAAGCCGCACAGGGCCTCGTCGAAAGCAGATGTCATGGCCAAGGTTGATGAACAGCACCCCTGATAGACCCTGTTCGGGTTTCGGCCCTTAACCCTGAACAACCTACCTCGCCTTATTATAATTTCTTTAGATAAGTCCCTAAAAATGTAGTTTCTTCTGGGTTAAGGTAGGGCCCATAGGTCCGAACCCGCGTGTTCTGACAAGAGGTTCAGAAGTTGATGGAGCCTACCTAAACCCCCAACAGTAGGTAAAATTATAAATTTAATAGCCCAAAACCTGTAAAAGGCCATTATTCTGCATACTTTCGGGGTCCAGGTAGTAGCGCGAGATTCACGAGGCCTTGGCCTAATGCGTCCTCATGCTTGAGATGCAAATCGGCGACGGTGCCGGCGATAGTGCAAAGAGCCAAGACATCACCGAATATGGGGACCATACTAAAGAATATGACAAGGAGCCCCAAGGAATAGTATTACCCACAGTAATTCCTCACACCTCTGCACAACACATGACCCCGGCTCAGGGAATAATCAGCTCCAGTGACAGGCCAGAGAAACTAGTTCAGGCGGGGCATTGTGCCCACGCCCTACACTTCATCCAAAACACACCGAACATGTGAGGTTGCGAATCATCTTGCAACTGAAAAGCTGTTCTCTTTAGACCTAGGTTCCGCAGTGTCCCCCGAACAATAAAGGCAGCCTTGTGATCTTGAAGAATACTGCTTCTCACAGCTGAAGAGGATGCTTACCATTATTATTGCCATCGCCAGTACTTATATGATCGTGATTGTTCGTATTCTCCAGTTTCATGGGACATGAGGAACCCTCCAATCAAACAAACAACACAAAGCGCGGTAATGCTGGGAGACTTGCGTAAAGTACAATGCATCCTTAGTTAGGAACCTTGAAAGTTGGAGTGGGGTTGTGCGGCATATGTATGTATACCTACTTGGGGCTACTTATACCAAGTGTTCACAGACCTCTCTATGAATACCTCGGTCACGATACCCCCCGAAAGCAGCGCCACTCGCACCCCGCTACATCCTAAACCCATACCATTCGCGACTCGCACGAGGCACGCGCGGATTCCAGCCATGAGTCCCGACTAGTTTGGGTTTATCGATAAGTCTTCAGGGGTTCATGCTGCCCAACAAGTGCATGCAACAACAACTTCAGAGCGGAAATCCCTGCTCTTCACAAAAACTTCACCCCCTCTTGCATTGTCTGGTGAACCACCAAACCCCTAAACCCTAAACCCCTAAACCCTAAACCCCTAAACCCCTAAACCCCAAACC